CCATTGAGCCACAACCCCAGCCCTTCACATTTTCTTTATCCATTGGTAGACTGCGATTCCATATCTTGACCCTTATGAATAGTGCTACAATAAACACATGAGTGCAAGTATCTCTTCAGCATACTGATTTCTTTCCTTTGGATATAGGTGTAGTGTGGGGTAGTTCTATAGGAACCTCCATACTGTTTCTGTTATGGCTGTACTTAAACTCTCACCAACAGTGTGGAAGGTTCCTTTTTCTCCATATCCTCTCCAGCATTTGTTATTTTCATCATTCTGTTAATAGCCATTCTAATTTGGGTGAGAAGATCTCTCATTATGGTTTTGATTTGCATCCCCCTGATGATTAGTGATGTTGAGCATCTTGTTGGCCATTTGTGTATCTTCTTTTGAGAAATGGCTATTCAAGTCATTGGTCTGTATTTCATAAAATTTTGTTGTTGTTGAGTTGTTTGAGTTTCTTATAAATTCTAGATTTTAATCTGTTATTGAATGATAATTTACAAATATTTCCTGTCATTCTATAGTTGTTTCTTTACTCTGATTGCTTCCTTTGCTGTGCAGAAGTGTTTTAGTTTGACATAATCCTATTTGTCAATTTTTGCTTTTGTTGCCATGCCTTTGAGATCATATTCAAAAAATCTTTGCCTAGACCAATGTTCTGAAACATTTTACCTGTATTTTTGTCTACTAGTTTCAGATCCTAAATCTAAATCTTTCTTCTATTTTGAGTTGATTTTTGTATAGTTTGAGAGATGGAAGTCTAGTTTCTTCTGCATATGGATATCCAGTTTTCCCAGCACCATTTATAGATGAGACTATCATTTCTCCAGTGTAAGTTCTTGGTGCCTTTTGAAAATCAGTTTGTTGCAAATACATTGCTTTATCTCTGGGTCCTCTACTCTGTTTCACTAGCCTGTGTGTGCTGTTTTGGTTACTGTAGCTTTATAGTATGTTTTGAAGTCAGGTATTTTGGTACTTCAAGCTTTGTTCTTTTCCAGGATAGCTTTGGCAATTCAGGATCTTTTGTGGTTCTACACCAATTTTAGGAGCATTTTTCTCTCTTTCCGCTAAGAGTGTTCGTGCCAGCCAGGCTTGGCAGCACGCATCTATAATCCCAGCAACTCAGGAGGCTGAGTCAGGAGGATTGCCAGTTCAAAGTCAGCCTCAGCAGATTAGTGGGGCACTTAGCAATTCAGTGAGACCCTGTCTCTAACAAAATGTAAAAAAGGGTGGGGATGTGGCTCAGTGGTTCAGCATCCCTTGATTCAATCCCTAGTACTGGAAAAAAAAAATGTTCATGCCATTTTGATAGGGATTGTTGGTGGTTGTGGTTGTTTTTTCCCTATATTGAATTTTGAGAGGTTTTTAAAAATGCATTTTGGATATGAGTCTGATATCAGTGTATTGGAAATATTTTCTTAGTCTCTGGCTTGCTTTTTTATTTTATTAATGGTATCTTCTGAAGAGGAGATTTGAATTTTGATCAATTTAACTATTTTTTTTCTTTTATGGTTAACATTTTTTGAACCTTAGAAATCTTTGCCTACTCCAGGGTATTAAACATTTTTCTCCTATGAGTTTTATCTTCTTAATTTCTACATTTAGGTCCTTGATCCATTTTCATATTAAATTTTGCATATGACATGAGGTATAAAGATCTGTGGGAGACCAACCTTCTACGTAACTGAGTTACACTCCCTGGCTGGGTGCTGAGGTGCTCAGTCACAGAAATGTGGCAGAGCTTCCCCACCCTTCTTGGGTTCAAGGGTCGAGGGTCGGTGTCTGGTGCATGGGTATGTCTTGCTACAGCCCCATGGGTGAAGTTATGCTCACCTGTTCCTTTATAATATAACCCCTTGCCCTGTTTAGGATTCTGTTTAGAATCTTCCATGGAAGTGCCTTGTGTGTGGCCCTTTACTGTGCCCTTGGGTGTGGCCTACCGAAGTGTTAGTGGACATGAAGATAGACTCAGCCCCCTGAAACCTGACCCCTTGCCTCATTTGAATAGTTTCTCCTCAATAAAAGGCGTCAGCGCACATGCTCTCGCTCTCTCTCTTCCTGCGGACCCTTAAGGTCAGAGGAGCTGTCAAAGCGACCCCAAAGAAAAAGGTATTTGTGGGCTGGGGATGTGGCTCAAGTGGTAGCGCACTTGCCTGGCATGCGTGCAGCCCAGGTTCGATCCTCAGCACCACAAACAAAGATGTTATGTCTGCCGATAACTAAAAAATAAATATTAAAAAAAAAAGAAAAAGGTATTTGTGTCTCTTGTGTGGTTATTTCGTGCAGCCCAGTCAGCCCAGTTTACCTGGAGTGACCCCTGAGCCTTTTAGTTGTGAGAACAGAAACCCGGCAGAGATCCAAATTCATTTCTCCCCCATATGAATATCTAATAATCCTTGCAAAAATTTTTGAAATTTTTTTCCCTATTGAATTACTGTGTAGCTCAGTAGTAAAGCACTTGCCCAGCACATGCGAGGCTCTGGGTTCAGTCCTCACCATCACATAAAAATAACACAATACCTTTATTTTATTTATTTATTTATCTACAAATAAAAATTAAAAAAAAAAATAAGTTGATCATGTGTTAGATCTATCTTTACTTTCTGTGTTCAGTTTCATTGATCTATATGACTGTGCAATATCACACTACCATGATCATTGTAATGTTATAGTAAGCCTTGAAATCAAATACTACATATCTTCAAACTTTCTTCTTTTTCAAAATTCTTTTGGATATTCAATGTACTTATGATTTTTTTCTCTTTCCACACTTTTTATTGGTGCAGTATTGTGCATAATGATGGGATTTGTTGTTACATATTTGTATATGCACATAATATAACAATATAATTTGGCCAAATCACTTCCCCATCCCTCCCCTTCTCCCACCCTCTGATCCCTTTCCTCTGCTGATCTCCTTTTGATTTTCATGAGATCCTCACCCACCACCTTTCTTTTCTTTTTTCCTCTCTAGCTTCTACATGAGAGAAAACATACAACCCTTGATCTTCTGAGGAAACTCAGTGTTATTGAATTATTTTGTTTGAAGCTTGCTCTTATAATTCTTTTTGTATATTTCTGGATTTGACTTGCTGATAATTTGGGTCCATTTATGGAACGGATCAGGCAGGTGAGCAAATAGGCCACACCATCCATTTTAGATATGTGGAAAAAGTTTGAGCACATTCAACAGATACTAAATATCTTAATGAAGCCTGCAGTTATGCCCACAAATAATGTTTTTTTCATCTGTCCTTTGAAATGTACTATCACCAGAGACAGCAAATGAATATGTAGGGCAAGGTTTAGAGATGAGTTTGATTAAACCTTGAGTTTTTTGAAGTCAGGGGCTTTATCTCATTCATTCAACTAGTGTTAACAAAGGCCCAAATTACAGTGGCTTATACAAATTGAGTTTATTCTTCTCACTCAGGCCTACTACTGCTCTTACTCACAAAAGGCTGCTTCTACCTCACTGCTCTATCAACCAAGGACATGACCTTAGGTGTTCTCATGGTCTTCACAGACTGTATCCACATTTCAGCAGCGGCAAAATGGAGACAGGGATCTGAAAGAAGAGAAGCAAAGATTGCAGGCCAGCTAGCTTCTAAGGAAGGTACCCAGAAGTTGCCATGACCATGTGCATACCATGTCACCCACTGGAACTTAGTATGTGGTCACAAGTTTTGGGGTTTGAGACAGGAGTTATGGAGAATAAATAGTTGTTTGCTGTTTATTGGGAAATGAAATAGATGTTTACTTATATGGTTGTTTTTTAAAGTGTAGAAGTTCCTGAATCAAAGTTATTTGCAACTTTTATCTTTCTGAGTTTCCTGGAATAGTAACAATATATTTTAAAAAGACAGTGGAAAAGTCATGTTAACATACATAGTAAGCTGTGTGTGTGTAAGTAGTTTTGGTTCTCAATACCTATGTCCTTAGGACCTAGCATGGTGCATGGCACATGATTGTAATAAGTATCTGTGACTAGTATATTACTAGCTCATACTGAGCTATACAAAAATATTTTCTTTCTTCCTTTTCTTTTTTGCAGTGCTGACTTGAACCCAGAGCTTCATACATGGCAAGTGCTCATCCATAAGCATCCCCTAGCCTTATTTTCTTTATATCCTTATTCTATGAGCTTTCTTCTATTTTAAATTCTTTTATTTTTACTTTTTAAACTTGTTTTAAGACATACAAACACATTTTAGCCTAGGCCTGTACAGGGTCACCACTATCACTATCTTCCACCTCCACTCTGGTCCCACTGGAAGTTCTTCAGGGCAGTAACGTGCATCTTCTTCTGGAACAAACCTGTTTTACCATTATTTTTTTTTCTTTTTTTTTTTTTAATCAGTGGGAAGAGTTCACTGTAAAATAATGATTGTAAAGTATAATAAATCCACAAACCAGTAACATAGTGGTTTATTATCAAGTATTAAGTACTGAACATAATTGTATGTGCAGTGCAGTGCAGTGGGTTTGTTTACACCAGCATTACCACAAACATGAGTAATGTGTGATTCTTCAGTCTCACCAAGACTCTGATGTCACTGGGCAACAGGATTTTTCAGCTCTGTTGTCGTCTTATGGAGCCACTGTTGTGTATGTGGCCCTTTGTTGATTGAAATGTAGTTGTGTGGCCTGTGAATATAGTTCCTGTTTTTTGCAGATGAGGACCGTGAAATAGAACTCAGGTGGTAGAGCCAGGTTCAAATCCTTGTCTGATTTCCAGAATTCTTTTTTTGTAGAGAGAGAGCAATAGAAATCTCAGGATTTCAACAGGGTGTAAACAGCCCTCCCCGAAAGATAGTTCTGGTGTAGCAGTTGATAACCTGTGTCCATGAAGGGCTTTTTATCCCCTGCCACCTCCTATAAAGCTAATCGGTTCCCACTGACCTGTGGGTCTCTGCCTCATGCTGGACACCTGACCCTCCTGAGTGGACTTCGATAAACAAAGTTTAATGTGTTTTACCTCTTTTTGCCTTTTATAGATGGATCTGTCTGTAGAAACCCTCTTTAGCTTCATGCAGGAACGCCAGAAAAGATATGCAAAATATGCTGAGCAGATCCAGAAAGTCAACGAAATGTCTGCCATCCTCCGCCGCATACAGATGGGCATCGACCAGACGGTGCCGCTGATGGAAAGGCTCAACAGCATGCTGCCTGAGAGCGAGCGGCTAGAGCCCTTCAGCATGAAGCCGGAGCGAGAGCTCAAGCTATAGCACTGCTGGTTCCCACCTGCCAGGCTGCTTTTAGGAGGCAGAGATGCCAGTAACCCAGAGGACATTTGGAGCCCAAGTCCTGTGGTATGACCAAGGCCTGAAGCTGGTACAAGGTCTGGGTCCTCACTGCAGTGGACACTGCATGGACTGCCACTGCCAGCATGGACTGTCTTTGCCCATCTCCTTCCCTTGATGCGAATGCCCTGTGTGAAACGAACAGAACTGATTCTTGGTGATAACTGAAGTTGGAACATTACTAGAAATTGTTTTAAATGCTGCATGGAGAGTTATTTTTTGTTTTCTTTTTTGTTTTTTTATTGACAGTATATATATTCTAGTGTAGCTACTGGAGTGAAAACATAGAAAAAAGGAAGAAAAATTTTTTAAGAAGCTATGTGTCTTCAATGCCCTTGTGAAATTTTACTCAGGCTCTGGGTTATGGGTTATAAACATGAAAAAAAATTAATCCAGATCTTTGAGTTCTTACTGTTTCCATCCCACTTCCATCACATCAAATCTAAATCGAGAATTCCCTCTTCCTATCCTGATGAAACACCGTCTTTCTTGTTGTCTACCAGGTTGTGGTGTCCCTTACATTTCATCATCAGAAAATGAAGACTCCCTTTCTCCACCTTCTGGAGATTCGTCTCATTGATTATTGGTTTCCTTGATGTAGGCATAGTTTAGGTTTCTTTCTATTACATCATCACAGGCAGGACTCGTTTTTGTTTTAACCATTATTTAAAAAAAATTTTTTTTAGTTGTACATGGACACAATACCTTTATTTTTATTTGTTTTTATGTGGTGCTGATGATTGAACCCAGTGCCTCCCACGCCAGGCGAGCGCTCTACCACTGAGCTACAACTTCAGCCCTAACCATCATTTTTTAAAAAAATAACTTATTGGGTTGAGGCTGTAGCTCAGTGGCAGAGCGCTTGCCTAGCATGCATGAGGCACTGAGTTTGATCCTCAGCACCACCTTAAGAAATAAAGGCATACTGTCCACTTTACAATTTTTTTAAAAAAAATAACATTTATTTATGTGGTGCTGAGGATTGAACTTAGTGCCTCACACGTGCTGGTGCTAGGCAAAAGCTCTACCACTGAGCCACAACCCAGCCCTCCGACTGTTTTTTATCAGCCTAGTAAACATGTGGGACATGAAGGCTTTGACAGCAGTCTATGGAGATCACTCACTCAGCAATTCAGTTAATTGAGCTTATCCCATGTGCTAGACATTGTGCCAGGGATACAGACATGGCTATGCAGCCTCTGCCCTTTTGTTTGTAAAGAAAAAGACAAAACACAAAGTACTGTTGAATTTCTATGGGAGTAGGAAATGAAGCAAAGTGCTTAGTGCAGCACTTTGCATGTCATGGGTATTCTTAGGGGAAGAAAGGACTGAAGAAGCAAAGAAATAAGAAGTAGAAACAGCCCTAAGCAGGCAAGTGGAGACCAAGAGCCAGGGTTAAGAAAGTCCCTGGTCCAGGTCTTTATGTAGGCCTCTGCCTCATGCACGTTTTCTGGCATCTCCTTCCCTTAGATGTGGGCAGCAGCCTCGCCCCCAGCTCCTCCAGCTCCCGTAGAACTCCGCCTTTGGTATTTCTAAATTTTAGATCAGGTGTTAAGTATTAGCTTTTCTCTCAGGTCACCTGTAGCAGTGAGGATGAAGGCTTAGACAAGGAGACTGCCAACTTGGGTTCTGGTGAGAGGTGTGAGCCTTCAGTTTATTGTTTGGAGGCCTCAGTTGTCCACACTCTTCCCCCATTAGGACTTACATTCCTTCCCAACTCACAATCTTCCTGTGCTCAGATGAAGCAGAAACAGCCAACAAAGACTATCTTCTCAGCTTCTATAACTGCTTCAGGTCAAATCCTTTGAACCTCATATTCTATATCATTCCTAGTGGTTTTTTTTGTAACTGAACCCTGACTGGTACCATAACATTACTCTTCAATATTTTACTTTTTTCTAATAGATTCTGGGAATTTTTTTTTTTTTCTTCAAGAAACTGTGATGGGTCTTTCTTGGTTAGTACTCACTCAGTGACCTACCTGGCCACTACAGGATCCTCCAGGGTTAGGAAGTGAGCTTGGAGTTGTGAGAGAGATCTGGGTGGAAGTTTCTAGCCTCGACTGGTAAGCCATTTGGTTTCCTTGAGCCTGTATTATACTTTGGATTTTAAACGTCCCCCAAAGGTCCACATGCTCAAGGCTTGTTTGCCTACAAATGGCAGTATTGGGAGGTGGGGGAGTTTTTATGGAGGTGGGAACCTAACAGAAGGAAATTAGATCACTGGCGGTGCGTGCTTGAAGAGCTATTGGGGACATTGGCCTTTCTCACACTCTTTTTCTTCCCGAATGCCATGAAGTGAACAGGTGTTCTCCACCACATGCTCTTGCCACAGACCCAAAACAACAGGGTCAAACGACTACAGACTGAAAATCTTTCCTCCTCATAAATTACATCAGGTGGAGCCGGGGTTGTGGCTCAGTGGCAGAGTGCTTTCCTAGCATGTATGAGGCACTGGGTTTGACCCTCAGCACCACATAAAATAGATAAAATAAAGGTCTATCAACAACTAAAAAATATTTTTAAATTATTTTAGAGAGATGAAAAGCTGACATACCAACCTTTTCCTTCTGGCAAGTCTGCAGTTCTAAAAACTAAATATTTAGCAGCAATGAAGAACATTTTTCTTGTCTGAGCAATAGTCCCGAGTCTTAATAATCTCTTTGGACACTCAGGGATCACTCTAAATATTCTGCCATTTTTCATATCAGAAATCTAGACCTTCCCTATTTCCCCCTTAGTTTTTTTTTTTTTATTTGTTCTTAGTTATATATGACAGTAGAATGTATTTTGACATGTACATACATGGAGAATAACTTCCCATTTTTGTGATTGTACATGAGGTGGAGTTACACTGGTTCACACTGAACATAGGTTTTTATTTTTAGTTGTCAAACTAGTCCTCCAAATTCAGAGCTCCCAAAGGAAAGCTTCCTTCCTTTTAATTATAAATTAGGTATTGACTCTCTCTTAAAAGCCTATTTTGCTTGTCTATCAATCTGTTCATCTGTACTTATGACCACTGTAAAAAGGGTACTATACTACATAGTTTTATTAGGTAAATTAGGTCAGTAGAAGCTGGCCTTCACCCTTTGTGCATATAAATTTATAATATGTGAGTTGTAAAGTTGGGAGCAGAAAAGTAATATTCAAAGAAAAAGACCTAACACATTAGTGGTTAATGTCAGAAAAACAAAACCTGACAACAGTATTTAAAATACCAATGAACATTTTGAAGCTAAAAATTTTTTTGTCATCTTGTCCCAGAACACTCTGCCCTTCACAAACTGTCTTTATGGATACACAAGACTCCAATTTGGCCATATTTGTCTCCACATCTCAGAAACCTTCCCTATTTCCCCCTGGTTTTTGTCTAATTGTAGGTGTCAGATCCAAACCAGCCCTCTCCCAGCTGCTCGTGTGTTCTCTAAATGCCTCTAGCTCTACCTAGAGTGAACAGTTCGCTTGACCTTCAGGCCTTCTCAAGATCTAAGCCTTTTCACCTGAAGCCTCTTATACAAACACTTGTTGTTCTACTACCCTCCATCTCTGGAGACAGTTATTTCACATTCCCTTTATTCTTCTATCCCACCCATTTTTTTCCCTGCAATGTCCTCACCAAGGCACCTCTGGTATTGGCCTACCCTGGCCAGTCCTCCTTACTTTCAAATTTTCTTAAGTCCAACTGCAACTTACTCAGGAACCTTTTACAGTTCACTTTAGTGAGGTTACCTTGTGAGTCTTTTTTAGTCATTCCATCTGCTGCATTAAGGTAAATAGTTCATTCCTGTAAGGCATGATTTTTACTGCACTAATGAGCATATCCAGTGTCACAGGCTGAGAGGTAGGCCATTAGAGTACCCATGGCAAGGATAGAATAGATCCTCTGTTTGATTCCTCCATTTTTCCTGAAATAATTACAAAGTCATTAATTTTATTTTTCTTCCAAAATCAATCAAAATATTTACCAAGTCTTTGGTTTCTACAGTGTACTGTGCCTTAGGTATACACAGAAAGAAGGCAGCCAATGATATGTTAGCCAGCGATCCAGTATTCTGTGTGAATGGTAGTAGATATATCTGACACTATCACCACTTTATTTTGAGCTAAACCTTATTCGAGAATAGCAGGACAGGTTCCACCACACCCTCCTTTGACAACTTGGATGATGCTATTTATCAATTTTACAGCTGCAAAGAAAGGTCCTTCCTCGTATTTATGTATAAACAGGTACCAGTTTTGATTTTATTTCATCATATTAACATACATGACACATCAAAATGAGAAATGCACAATTTAACCATTCAACAGCTTGCCTTGCTCCAAAAGAACACTATATTCATATTAAACATTTATACAGTCTTTCCACCTAACTTTACAAATGTCCTAAATCAATTTCCAGCATTTCTCACACAGAAGCCTATTTCAACTCTTTAAAATCACCATTCTGTATCATCCTAGTAGACTCCAGGGGTTCCCCTGTGATTCCATGCTGAAGAGAACCAGCCTCCACATCACCCACAGACCCGAGCAGCTCCAGGACTTGCCTTGGAGGCTGCCCCTTCGGCATGGTAATCTTGATTCCAAGAACTGATTATTGGACATAACTGATCAAGGACTGACAGTTGTAGTGTATGACTATATCACAGTTACAGGAGGGAAGGGGGACCATAGCCAACAGAAACCCTAAATGACACAAGGCAAATTTTTGCCCAAAGATCTATTGAATCTGAGTCCCCCAAGCCTCCTGAAACCCTTAACGATGGAGCTATAGCTTTCATTTCTTAAAAAATGTTTGACAGATGTAACCAGATTCTGGAAGCGGGGAACTGTTAAACATTCGGTGTGTGTATACACAACACACCAAAAATTACTTTGTGAAACCTTGAGAATATCTGATTACATAAAAGATTTAAATGCGTATATAAAAACTCAGATCATTTCACAGAAATTTGTCAGTACAGTAATAATGTGCTCCCTATGCAGTTCATGCTCTTTTGTGTCCATTTTATACCCACATCATAGCACATTATTTGTACATAACCAGTATGTCTGTGAAGCTCATAAACCCCATGATCAAGCCAGTCAGTTCTGAATCGTTATTCTGTGCTAGTTTTAGCAGTCACCATAGGAAACAAATCACAGCCTAGTCCAAGGAATATCCATTTCTCAAACATAGAAAAACCTGAGATATAAGTCAGCAACTAGCTACACTTACAGTAAAGGAAAGAACAATAACACCTGTCCCACTTCCCACCCCCCCCCCCAAAAAAAAGCTGCTGACATGAATTAAGGCTTCAAAAGAGGACCATACCGTAATTGATAAAACATAAGCCAAGAAATTTAAAAGCAAATACATACTATCACTTGTGTACTTGTTCTAATTACCTTCTATTTTCAGCTGCCAGGATTGATTCCATACAGTGATTGTAGGTCAAGGACTGAGAAACCATCTTGGTCTTTTTCCATCTTGATATGTTTTACTAAAAACATGCCAGGGATAGTTTTCAAAATAGCTTGGCTATGGCTTTCCACTCTACTCACAACTGAACAAAATTCAACAGCCTTCTTCTCACCTTCCTAAACTGTTACTGAGTTTTCCTTGCTTCCTAAAGCCTCTCTCAACTCTATTTAAAAGTATGCGGAGATTTTAGAAATACCACCCTCATCACATGCCAAGAGGAGATGTGCCATCAAGGAAATAAGTTTCCTGTTTCTCCTCAGCATTTTTTTTTTAACCTTCTTAATATTTCTATAGTTCCCCGCCTAGGTGGTTTCCTATAAAATTCTTCCTGTTGTTACATTTTTACAAACTGGATCCATGCAATGAAATAAATGGAAAATATCTACTTTGGCTGAGAACTTGAAGGATCTGTCACTCTGCTATGAACCCAGACAATTCACATTTGACTTTAAACCAAGTTAATCTTTAATGAAAGGATTAACAATCCCATTTTAAACAATTCTTTGATTCATAAAAGGGAGGTAGACTTGTTTAGCCTCCCAATCTTGGCTTAAATCATTATACCGCCAGATTCCTAGCTAAGGTGAATCCTAGATGGTTTCTCTTCTCTTTCTTTAAATAAAGCTGAAAAGAAGAAGAAAACAACCTACTCCATCCAGGCCCAATTGGAATTTTGTGCATAGAGTTTTAAATTGTTCTGAAAAGTATGACTAGCTACCAACCTATTCACAATGCCTAGAAAACGGGCTCCCAGACATGGTAGTGGTGAAAGCCCCGACTGTCCTGTCTGAGGTACTGGGTTTGTTCTAAAGTAGATCTGGGCGAGGCCCCTAATGGTCCATGCAGCAGAATGATGCTTATGTCACTCAGCTGTCAGGTGAGCTTGGATTTGTGAATCAGTTTGGATAGGATCATTTCTCTTGGATTTAACCATTAGGTTCTGTCCCTAAGAGGTCTACCCACCCGACCCACCAGTGGCTCAGTCTCAGCACTAAGGTGCACTATGGAAGGGACTGGACAAAGACAAATATTTGAGATCTCATTGTAGCACAACGTGAAAATGGTATGGGATTTTGTCCTCTGACATCAAAGATGCTTCTGTAGGAGCAATAAATGTGCAATTCACGGAATACAAGTTGGTTCCTCTGGTTAGGGGGATTCTAACATCTGCCCTTCCACTTTTCTTGAGAGAAATATTAGCTCATCTCTCAAATGCAGATGCTAAGAGAACTGTGTTGATCCACCTTTTGCTTTACACCACAGCTCCATTTTCCAAAATATATATGTATGTACATATATATATTTCAGATTTACAGGGAATATTTTTGTGGAAAAAAAAAAACTCAATAGAAGTCACAAGTGTCTTTCTTCTCAGGAGACCTCAATGATTTCCATGCTGCCTGAAAAGCTAGACTGACTGCCCACTTTCCCCAGCTCTTCCCGCGACCTGTTCTCTGACATGATGCTCTCTCCAAATTCCATTTGGCAGCTTCTACGTTTAAACTGCTTTTCAAAGGGGCTCTCTTCGTGCCAGCTCCGCCGTGAGTCAGCTCTGTCACTTGGCTTCTGCCGTCTGCGCACAGAATAGACTTGGTCACTGCAAGTGGGCAGCTGGCTACAGCTGTAGGCAGAATAACTGGCATTGCCTCCATAGATGGCTGAAGCAGAGTAAAAGTGAGAGGACTCTGTGGCAAAATACCAACTATTGGTCAAGGAGGGGGTAGAGGTCTGGGGAGCCAAGATATCTGAGTGCCAGCCCTTGAGGCCCAGCCCGGCAGCAGACTTGGTGAGGTGTTGCTGGCTGGTGGAAAGGCCGAAGAGGAAGTTGGTATGGTAATTGTCCTCCACACTCCCACTTCGATGCAGTGGAGATAAGAAGGACCTTTGGGTGCCACTGTTGCTGGTTCTTACTGAGTGTAGACGCTTGCTCTCTGAAGGCCTGGTGGTCTGGGGCTTCTTAAGGATGTGGGCTTCCTCCTTATCTGGGCTGGTTTCTGGAGTCTGCTCTGACACTTCCTGAACTGGGGAGAACTGGCATAGCTTGTTGGTCCCATCCAGAGTAGTTGAAGGTTTGTAGTATTCCAAAGCATCTTCTGATGAGGAGAAACCATGTAAGGATGCTGCCATGCTGGCTGAATATGAAACTGATTTAATATCCAGAGAGAAGGAACGCTTGAGCTTATTGCTGTCTTCCAGCTTGTCAGAGGACAGGTGAAGCCCATTGAGTGCCTGTACCAGTGGACTGTCCTCTAACAGTGATGGCTGTAGGCTGGGCGCACTGGCAGGATGCACAGGCCTTTGCCCTGCTGCCTCTGAGGTAGCACAGTCAGCAAAGGGTGGACTGAGGGATGTCTCACTTTTCTGTCCACCCTCCAAGACTGCAGGGACAGGTTCATTTGGCTTTTCCAGGTGCAGCAGCTTGAGTTTGCTCTTTGGCCCTGATGCTCCAGTCTGGTTCTTAATCTTCTTTTCATAGTCAAGGAGCTGGCCCAGAAAATTGAAGTTTGGAGATATAGTAGGTCTTTTTTCTTTCACAAATCTATGAAGAGAGGAAAAATCAAAAACTGAATTTTATACTACACTTTATCTTAAGAATATTAAGTGAGTAAACACGAGGGGTTTATTAGACCTTCCTAAATACTTTGGAAGATGACTGGTTTACAAGTTCAGAGAGATGCCTCAAGATGGAGAATATAAAGGACTTCTGTGCTGAGGGAACTCTGACTCTGGGGGCATACTAGAGAGAGAGGGTGCCAGGCCCAAAAGCTCTAGAGTTTTAGCCTTATTATTTTTAATGGCTCAAGACTTCCAATGCAATTGATAAGAGGGGATTTCTTTGGCTACAACCAATGAAATCCTGCCACAACACACACTGTTACAACCAAAAGAAGTATAGTGTAATGGTCATTTGCCAGCTTTAATTTTCCAATATTATCCCTTCAATGTCCCCATGGTCATTTCTCAAGACATTTCACATTTTAATGACCAAAAAAAAAGTATCAGATGACGGTCAAAGCACCTAATTCTGAGTTCCATCTTTTTGTACTCTGCACGACAGAATAACCAACCACAAAGTTGTATCTGGGGGCTAAGTATTATGCTGATGCCCTAAATTATTTATTCAATCTTCAAACCTACCCTAATCAGTGGGTGCCATTATCCCCATCATGAGGGTACATAAATCTTGGACTTGCCTAAAATCACATAGCTACTAACTGATGATACTGGAAGTCAAAGCTAGGTCCATCCGATGTCTGGGTCCATTTTTGTAATATGTTAAAGATTCATCAAGGGGTCAAAACTATGAATAAGTAGCTTTTATGTTTCACTGAGGAAACAAGGCTCTTAAATGTAATAGAAAAATTCTTCAATGGCACCAGAACTTCATGAGTCAATTACCTGTCAGATGCTGCAAAAAGTAAAACTACTACTATTCTTTATTTGTAAATAAAGAATAAGAAAAATTAAAAACTCCATAGAAATCAAGTAATCTAAAGCAAATTAACAAAGCCAGAAATAACCAGTTCAACTATAGTTTAAATATTAATATAGGGTCCTTGTGCTAAGACTTCCTCATGTGATACTATGGTGAGGCCTCTGGTTTCTGCATGGAGCAGGACAATGTCAGGCACAAAGCCTGAATGAAGGAGAGGAATCTGGTGCAGGTAGACAAGGGCCCATCCACACCAGTTTCCTGCCTCAAAAGACAAGCTGGGCTGCTCATTCCTTCTAATTTTACCCAACTGTTAAAACGGGCCTGCTCTATGTGTTTCTATTTTTTATTCTTTATCACATGAAAACTAACTACCTCTACCCAACAAGGCCTGAAGGAAACTCATATTCATAAATCACCAAGAAAACTCCAGCCCTCAGCAGTATTGCCACTTGCCTGCCTTCCCTTTTGAGAAAATAGGAGCCAGCGCAACCTGGTCAAAACTACACACTGCAAAATCTGGACAACTAGGATGTAGGAAATTAGTGAATGCATTTGATGGTTATTTGGTTTTACACTTGCCTATATTTGTCTTTTTCCTCATAGCAATACAAAGTTTGAAGCAGAGTATATTCTACTGGAAGTTTTTTTTTTTTTTCCTTCATAAATACATTAGAACAAATGATACTTCTCCGACGAAGGAAAGGAATAAGCTCTCTGCCTGGTGTTTTTCCTTAAACTTAAAAGGTAGCTGAGGATGAATCTGACACATTAGGGCAGAATGAATGCTAACTGATAAAACTGCATTCTTTTCAAATCTTTGCAAGACCATTTAAAAATCCACAGAAACCTGAAAAGAGAGTGACTAAAATAATCACAATTTGCTTTAATCTGCTTTTCTATTCATTGTGTTTCAGGGCAAATGAAAAGCCCACTCACACAGACATGTTCTTGTCCTCACCTGTAAGCCTCATCTAAAGACATGTCCATCCTCTTCATGATGTAGGCGATGGCAATGGTGGCGGAGCGAGAGATCCCTGCTAAACAGTGCACTAGGACACATCCATTGGAAGCTTTTGCTTTCTCTGTATGAGTCAAATTCAAGAAAGTTAACAATTTAGTTCAGCAAAATGGAAATTTTGTTTCCATTTGTTTACTCAAGGTCTTAGCCTAAAAACCTCAAAGCAAATCTTTTCTATTCACATTATATTTACTCTTTCAATATTCTTTTGAAGTTAGGGAAGATAATTTCCTCACCATTGTTATACAATGGATAGTTAAGGTCCACAAGCATTAATAAGCAACATGTCACTAACTCAGGTTACCTGACACTTATTTCAGTATTTTTTACCATATATTTTTTTTCCATTATTATTTTAATAAATTTTCCTGGATATGATTCCTGCATTACATGATTCTACTTGCTTAGTGTAGAAATTTTCAGAAATACAGAAAAGTACATAAAGAAAATAAGAACCATCTAAAACTCCGCACCCAAGATAACAACTAACAATTTGTTTACGCATGTTATTTGACACACATTTTCCTCCCAACTATGAGATTTTAGGGGTGGAGGAGGGTAACCGGGGATTGAACTCAGGGACACTCAACCACTGAGCCACATTCCCCAGCCCTATTTTGTATTTTATTTAGAGAGAGGGGCTCACTGTGTTGCTTAGTGCCTCCGCTGGCTTTGAACTCCTGATCTTCCTGCCTCAGCCTCCTGAGCCACTGGATAGGATTGTGCCACCGCGCATGGCTGATAATTTTTTTAAAAATATATTTGCATTTCAAATAATGTATGACACACATTACTAATGAGAAAGGAGGGAAGTGAGGGAGAGACTAGATCATAATGCAAGATGCCAGACCAAGTGAGTTTTTTTTTCCTTTTCTTTTTTGCTATGCTGGAAATTAAACCTAGGGCCTCAAACACTCAAAGCTAGCAACAGGCCACTAATCTACATTCCCAGCCCAAATATTTTTTTAAATGCCGAGACTTGTCAGACATGAGAGTACACACCTGTGATCTCATCTACATGGGAGGCAGGAGGGTCCCAAATTCAAGTCCAGCCTGGGCAATTTAGTAAGATTCTGTCTCAAAATAAAAATTTTTAAAAAGGGCCGAGGATGTAGCTCAGTGCTAGAGTACTTGCCTAGCATGAATGAGAGCTCTGGGTTCAATCCCCATACCACACAGGCACACCACCAATAAATAAATAAATAATAAAATTCATGAGTTCTCTATTTAGGAAATTTTACCGTGTGTCATAAAATAGCTCAACTTTATTTGCTGAATTTAAGAAGAAAACTATGCATAGCTAGATGGGGTTTACCAGGTCACTTTAATGAGGACAAACAGAACTTTTATCCCTTCCTCGACACCCAGGAGTTACTGTCCTTTATCGCATTAGTTCCCCAAAACATGGCAGAAGGACTCAGAGATACTTTTAGTGCTGTCATTTCTCATTGTTAAGGGGCTTTAAAAAAACATAAATGTGGAAGTAGGTTAGGTTATCCCACATGGCCTGAAAGCAACCAATATTCTATGCAGTACTATGACTGTCTCAAGTCTTTTTATTATTTTTTATAATATTTTTAGTTGTAGGTGGACACAATAACTTTATTTTGTCTATTTAGTTTTTTTTATGTGGTGCTGGGGATCAGACCTAGTGCCTCATGCATGCTAGGCAAGCAATCTACCACTAAGCCACAACCGCAGCCCCGACTGTCTCAATTCTAAACAATTACATGTGTGCTTCTTTCTTAAAGCTGTTGCCAGGGAGCTACATTCTTCCCTTTCATTTTTATTTTAGTTGAAAATTACCAAAAATTACCAAAACTATGTTAAAATTATTAGAATTAACAAATATGTAAGAAACCAGCTCCAGCACTGCCTATGTCACAAATATTTCACATTTCTTCTAGATATGATTTATTCATTATGTATCCAACAATCTAGGATGAATAGGCAGCAACTTCAGCTTCCGTTCTAGATAGGAAACCAAACAGTAAAACAATAACAAATGACAACAATGCAACACTGAAACAAAGAACCAAGTGCTAAACAAAATAATAATAAACCTGTATATATAAAGTCTTTAGTTCTCTTTGCTCTACTGTACAGTGCTTACCCTACACTACTCTGTATTCCCCCTTTTGCCTTGGCTGCTAGAAGCTAAATTTTTCATTTAATTTCAAAAAGAAACAGTAATTCAGATTCTCTATCATTATTGCACTTTTCCTACTCCAGTATTACTTGATTCTTGCACTTTTATCTGTACCATCTTAATGTGTATATGAATATGTGCATCTTTTTATCCCAATCTCTTATTGTAAAGTACTCCAATACTGATTAGAAGTAGGCTTAAGGTTTTGAATGTTGATCATAGTCTCATCTGGAAAACTAGACTATGAGGACCTAGAATGGTCTTGCCTCTATAATACTAGACATAGTACATATACAGTTAGTACTGGCAGATTGATAAATAAGAAATCTTCATAAAAGTTTTGAAAAAGGGCTGGACGTAGTGGCACATGCCTGTAACCCCAGCAACTCCACAGGCTGAGGCAGGAGGATTACAAGGTCAAGACCAGCACAGCAAGACCCTGTCTCAAAATAAAAAATAAAAAGGGCTGGGGATGTAACTCAGTGGTTAAATACCCCTGGGTTCATTACCCCAGTACAAAAAAAAAAAAAAAAAAGAAAAAGGCTAGAAGGAAATAAACAATGACAGTAACGTATGTGTTATAATGTTGAGGTTATAGGTTTCCTTTTCTGTTTTTCAAACATTGTTTTTATAACCACAACTCTCTTGATATATATGAATGATATATTGTCGATGGACCTTTATTTTTTTATGTTTATATGTGATGCTGAGAATCGAACCCAGTGCCTCACACATGCTAGGCAAGTGCTCTACCACTGAGCTACATCCCCGCCCTCTTGATACATTTTTAAGAATCAAATTAAGAAATGCTTATACTGGAGTGGGGTTCATTAGCATACAGTTCTTGGCAGACATGAGTGCTAAACTAAGGCTTAAAGCAAAGGAAGAAATACACACAGACCTGACAGAGAGAAGGGACAAGTGTGCAGGAAAGCCCTGTGATGAGCTGAACAAAGTGCCCAGAAAACAGCCTGCCTTGGTTGGCACTCACGAGCTGTATGAGAAATAACCAGAATATTTCACAGGTGGGGAGCAGCTGCAGGAGGGTCTCTTGGGAATGTTAGGCTAAAGGATGTAATTTTTATGTAGAAAATCAAAGAGCCTCTTGCAAGTTCCTGAATAGGGAACAAGAAGGCAGTGATGGTGTCAATGGAAATAGAAATGGCACACTAGCACTACAGAAATTCAGGAATAAAATTTACACTAAACAAGGAGAAAGGGTCACAAATAAAGAGAGGGGGCATAAGAAAGGAGGAAATTCTCATTATTAAAATATTAGCTGGATGAGGTGGCTCATGACTATTCAGATGACTGAGGTGACAGGAATTATTGCTCAAGCCCATGAGTTCAAGACCAGCTTTGGGTAATGCAGCAAGACCCCACCTCAAAAGCAAAACAAACAAACAAAAAAAGCCAACCAAACTAAAAATATTTACTTAAAGCCAACTAGGAGCCAAGTACTTTGCAAGGTATTTAATACACATATATTATCTACTTTAATTCTTCAGCATCAAAATAAGGTAGTTTCCAGTTCAGGAAATAGGCACACAAGCATGACCTCCATGTTGGGGACTGAACCCAGGGATGCTCTATCACTGAGCTACATCCCCTACCCTTTTTTACTTTCAAAGAGGCTCTTCCAAAGTTCCAAGGATGGCCTCAAACTTGGAAGTCCTCAGGCATATAAGTTTTAAGCAATTTACTCCAAACTACTATTAACTAAGGGAAGCCAAACTCAAATACTGATAGTTAGGCTCTAAAGTACATGATCTTAATCACCTTGCCTTGGTGCAAAGTCATGAGTTTGGTGTGAGTGAGTTGGCGGGGGCGGGGGGGGGGGAAGGCAAGGAGACAGTGAGGAGGGAGCAGGGGCATCCAGATGCACAAGAGGGTACCTCATGAGAACCCCACCACACAAACAGGCAAACTTTGCTACTGCTGCCTACATTGACTAAAAATAAAATATAAAGCTCCATGAAAACCCGAGTCCTTCCACCAAACCCAGAGACTTGCTGAAATTTAATCTAAATAACAAAAAGAGAAAAATCAAGATATTGTATCTAGGTATAGGGGTACATCTTCTAATTACATAGTCTATCATGACTAACCATGGCATCAAGTACCATGGAGAAGACAAATAGCAATTACAGCGAATATGAAAAAAATGAGATTTCTGCCTTCAATTATTTGAGTGGGATAGGGTAGTGGCTCACCTAAATAGAACCAAGCAAATAAGTGTGTGTTTGTTTGTGTACATTTAACCAATTGAAACATGGTAAAGTTCCTTTTGCATAAATGAAAAGTGGCATGATGATCCCAATCTCTCCCATGAAAGAAGAAAATAAACTGGGAGTAAAGTTACTCATATTCTCTTTTTTATGAATTCCTCCCAAATGTAGGCATTGTTATGACTTAACAGAATCAGGTTCTCCTCTTGATAGATCCTGAGATCATACTTTCAGCTGAAATTAGAGCGAAATGTCTCTGGATCAATATGACATGCAATGGCAACATTAATCATTATTATTATTTTTCTAAAGCAGCAGAAGGTGAATGATATGCTAAAGACATTTCCTAGAAGTATAATGAGAGAGTATTAATTTGGGGAATTTTCTCTATGATTATTTTAATGGGAGTGGTCATGGTCATTTATCTTTAGTTATTTCACAGAACGAGTCCTAATTGAATATGGAAACTCTTGGCAATCTGGAAAATTTGAGAAAAGATAACTATTTCAGAATTACCCAAAGCTCCAATAGCATTACCTAGAAAATCCCTCTCCTAGATGATAAAATATAGTGGGGACTTAATTTGCATAATTTTTCTTTTTTAAAGAAACTAGTTCTTTTATTTTTAACTACAGTAACCAATTCAGAGTATTTCAGTGTGGATTAGAGTGCTCAAACAGATGTGACTATAGGGGGTGAGCAACAAAAATTCCTCACATGGACATTAAGGGTCAACACCTTATTATGCTGCTCACTAGGGAGCAGTTTTCTCCTCTGTTCAGCCTCTCCACACAAACCACACTTTAAAAACATATCACCGATTACCACCAACACACTTGATCCTGCAGGACCATAAGGTCACAAAAGCAACAAGGACTTATCAAAATTCTGAATTTGAAGCAGAATGCGGAGTAGGAAACAGAATGTGTGTGAATTTTATTAGACCCATAACTACTTGAAAATACTGCCACTTGGATTGAGGCTCAGATATCTTGTAACATGTAAGAGATTCTAAATGTACTAGGATTCTTTTCCCCCCATCAGATTTGACTTTTCCCTGGGGAAAAGAGCAGCAAGGCAATAGGGAATATCACCAAAGTTTCCCAAAGTATTTTATAGGATTTGAAAAACTTGTGTGTGTAAGATTTAATTCCAAAAGCTTAACTAATTTTTTAAATTATTTATTTTAATTAGGTATATATGACAGCAGAATGCATTTTGATTTATTGTACATAAATGCAGCACAACTTTTCATTTCTCTGGCTGTACAAGATGTAGCATCGCATCATATGTGCAGTCATACATGTACCTAGGGAAATGACGTCCATCTCATTCCACCATCTTTCCTAGTCCCATCCCCCCTCTCCACCCCTCCCTCCCCTTTGCCCAAAGTTCTTTCATTTTTCCCATGCCCCCCCAATATGGATCACCATCCATTTATCAGAGAGAACATTCAGCTTTTAGTTTTGGGGGATTGGCTTACTTCACTTAGCATGATATTCTCCAACTCCATCCATTTACCTGCAAATGCCATAATTTTATTCTCTTTTAATGCTCAGTAATATTTCATTCTGTACATATACCACAGTTTCTTTATCCATTCATCTATAGAAGGACACCTTGGTTGCTTCCACAGCTTAGCTACTGTGAATTGAGCTGCTATGAACATTGATGTGGCTGCATTACTATAATAGCAGGCTGATTTTAAGTCCTTTGGGTATAGACCGAGGAGTGGGATAGATGGGTCAAATGGTGGTTCCATTCCAAGTTTTCTAAGGAATCTCCATACTGCTTTCCAAAGCAGTTGCACCAATTTGCAGTCCCACCAGCAATGTATGAATATGCCTTTTCCCCTACATTCTTGCCAACACTTATTGTTGTTTCTATTCTTGATAACTGCCATTCTGACTGGCATGAGATAAAATCTTAGTTTTGATTCGCATTTCTCTAAATAACTAGAGGTGTTGAACATTTTTTCATATATTTGTTGATAGATTGTATATCTTCTGAGAAGTGTCTGTTCAGCTCCTTAACCCATTTATTGATTGGGTTGTTTTCTTTGGTGTTAAGTTTTTTGAGTTCTTTATATATCCTGAAGATTAGTGCTCTATCTGATGTGCATGTGGCAAAAATTTCTCCCCAAATGTAGGCTCTCTCTTCAAACTTATTGTTTCTTTTGCTAAGAAGAAGCTTTTTCGTTTAAGTCCATCCCATTTATTAATTCTTGATTTTATTTCTTGTGCTTTAGGAGTCTTGTTAAGGCAAGGCCTACTTTTTCTAGGGTCTCTGGACTAATTCCTAGGTCCTTGATCCACTCTGAGTTGAATGTTGTGTGTGGTGAGAGATAGAAGTTTATTTTCATTTTGCTGCACATAGATTTCCAGTTCTCCCAGCACCACTTGTTGAAAAGACTATCTTTTCTCTAATGTATGTTTTTGGCACCTTTGTATAATATGAAATAACTATATTTATGTGGGTTTGTCACTCTGTCTTCTATTCTGTATCTTTGCTCTACATGTCTATTTTCATGATAGTACCGTGCTGTTTTGTTACTGAAGCTTTGTAGTCTAGTTTAAAGTCTGATATTGTGATGCCTCCTGCTTCACTATTCTTGCTAAGAATTACTTTAGCTATTCTCGGGTCTTTTATTTTTCCAAATGAATTTCCTGAGTGTTTTTTCTATAAGGAATGACACTGGGAGTTTAATTGGAATTGCATTCAATCTGTATAGTGCTTTGGGTAATATGACCATTTTCACAATATTAATTTTGCCTATCCAGAGCATGGAATCTTTCCATCTTCTAAGGTCTTCTTCAACTTCTTTCTTTAGTGTTCTGCAGTATTCATTATGGAGGTCTTTCACCTCTTTTGTTAAGTGGATTCCCAAGCATTTTATTATTTTTTTAAAGCTATTGTGAATGGGGTAGTTTTCCTAATTTGTCTTTCAGAGGATTCATCACTGATGTATAGAAATACACTTGATTTATGGGTACTGATTTTATATCCTGCTACTTTGCTGAATTCATTAATTCATTCTACAAGCTTTCTGGTGGAGTTTTTTGGATCCTCTAAGTATAGAACCATGTCGTCAGCAAATAATGATAGTTTGAATTCTTCTTTTCTTATTTGTATTCCCTCTAATTTCTTTGTCTCTCTAATTGCTCTGGCTAGAGTTACAAGAACTATGTTGAATAGAAGTGGTAAAAGAGGGCATCTCTGTCTTGTTCCAGTTTTTAGAGGGAATGCTTCCAATTTTTTTCCATTTAGAATGATGTTGGCCTTGGGTTTAGCATAGATGTTGAGGTATGTTCCTACTATCCTTAGTTTTTCTAGGGTTTTGAACATGAAAGTGTGCTGTGTTTTGTCAAATGTTTTCTCTGCATCAATTGATATAATCATGATTCTCATCTTTAAGTCTACTGATGTAATGAATTACATTTATTGATTTCCATATTTTGAACCAACCTTGCATCACTGGAATGAACCCTACTTGATCATGGTGCACTATTTTTTTAATGTTTTATGTGATTTTTCCAGAATTTTATTGAGAATTTTTGCATCAATATTCATCAGGAATATTGGTCTGAAATTTTCTTTCCTTGATGTGTCTCTGCCTGGTTTTGGTATCAGGATGATAATAGCTTTGTTGAATGAGTTTGTAATGGTTACTTCCTTTTCTATTTCATGGAGTAATTTGAAGAGTATTGGTATTAATTATTCCCAAAAGCTTAACTAATTTTTAAACACTTGCAACACACAATCACAGATCCTATGAGGCTTACCCTTGGTACTGTTAAAAGTTAGCTAACAGGTCTCACAAGGCCAAACCTTAGGGACAGCACAACACGCACATCACCTTGACAGCTAAGTGAGAAAGCAACATCATGTTTTTTCCTGACTTTTGAAATCTCTGAAACAGGTTCCTTTCCTTTAAAGATAAAAAGAAGAGAGAGGGGCTACACCTACAGATGAGACTATAACCCAAAGGACTGTAATGCTACTTGAACTACTTACCAATGAAATCCACTGATTTGTCCAACCATGGCAAAATTTTTTCACAGAAGCTATCATTGACAGGCACTCGAAGGAAATGAGACTCAGGGATAAAGTCAGGCTTTGGACAGGTATTGCTGGCATTTAACACATAACCAATCCCGTTCTGTTGCATCAGCTCCTGTAGAAGGAAAAGCAGTTGAAATTACTAATAATATGATAACATGATCATTTTGAAAGATTAATGTTATGATAAAAATTACCAGTCTCCTTAAACTAATTATTCTCATTAGGAAATCCAAAAACCCAACAAAATGACAGTCTGGAGAGGAGGAAAAAAATTTAAGGAAAAAAGTCTATTTAAAATAGTACAGTACACTTGAAAATTATACACGACTAATATAGCAAATATTCTCTCACCTCCATTGCTACAGAGAAAAGCAGAGCAAATAATACAAAATAAAATGACCATTTATACAACTTCAGAATATGTGCACACATAAGAACATTTTCTTCCCACACCAAATATGCTGGGTTTTCTCTAAGATATAGCCCTAGGCATTCTTCTAGAACTCATTCTTTTTGAAGGCTGCATCTCTTTCTAAGGCATTAATTATTTGCTCTACATGCTGCTGGGTGTGTGTATAGTGTGAGAGTTTGTATCTCCTCTTAAATTTCTGGCTACCTACTGAATATTAGGACGTCCCACAGGCCCTTCAAATTCAAAATGTCAAAAACTAAACAAGCTTTTCTTCTTTCTCTGCTCCAATCTCTCGTTTCCTCTCTATAATCCCCAAAATTGGTTTATGGTAATAACATCCATCCATTCAGCTGAGGTAGAAAATAAGATCATCTGGCTCCTTTCTCTTCCTATAACCCCCTTCCAAATGGCTGCCAGATTTTTTTGGTATTGCCTGTTCCATTTATCTTCTTCTATTTTTATTCACTGCTCAGTGATCAATATTCATCAAAATAAATAAAAAAGCTACTAGAGAACTCAAAGTTTGCAGTGTTTTTCTCTCCAAACCATATTTAAAATGTTTTTTTTTTATTAAAGCATTATGGTTATATATAGTAGTTGGGTTCATCCCAACAAACTCATACATGCATAGAATTTTGATTTCAGTTCAGGATCCCCTCCCCCAAACCATATTCTTAACTAGTTATCTTTTTATTTTTTTTTAATAATTGTTTTTTAGTTTTAGGTGGATACAATATTTTTATTTTTATGTGGTGCTGAGGATTGATCCCAGTGCCTCACACATGCTAGGCGAGCACGCTACCACTTGAGTCACATCCTCAGTTCCAACCTTTTTCTTTCTTATTGAGACAGAGTCTCATAGTGCTACCCAGGCTGGTCTCAAACTCTAAGCTCAAATGATCCTCTTTCCTCTCAGCCTCCCCAGGACCATGTGCCACCACATCCAGCTACAGCAATTTTTCTTACAATTAAGTACAAGATAATTGCTTTATCCACACTCTTCTAATTTCATTGTTTCATTTCCTGTTCCTGTCCCATACACCCTCTCAATGTCACATATATACTCACCTCTGTGCTTCTGTTTACACCATTACTATGCTTAGAAGGCCCTGTCCCTCTTCCTGATGACTCTCTTCCCACTTTTACTACTTTGTTTAACCTTATCTAATAATTCCTTCCCACTAATGCATAATTGGTGATTCAAATTTCTGCCCTTCCAAAGTACTTTGCTCACACCATTAGTAGAGTGCATGCATTGCATTATCAGTAACTCTTTTCACCCTATTAAGTAGTGAAGTAAAATGAGATATTAGATCAATTTTTGGTTGTTTTTCTATTTTTAACACCAGCTACATAGTTGCACTAAGTACCAATCTGTTCATTTGATATCCCATCTACCATTTACCAGACAAGTCTAATAAACAACCCTACTTCTTTAGTCATTCCATTATTGCCTTTCAAGAAATGTTCCAAGCCTCTTATTTTAAGCAACCTTGGTCATTTCTTTCTTTTCTTGGAATGTTACCTCTTCTACAAATTCTTTTCAACTACCTAAAAGCAGCTGATATATGCGAGTTCACTAATGTCTTCATTTAACACATTTGGCACAATAAATATATTTCATCTTACATAAAAGGTGGACAGAGTGTAGATTTTGCATACAATCCTTATTGTTGAGATGACAATCAAGAAACAGCTTTTGGAATCAGATGGGCTTCTTAGCTTGAACAATATCCTTCATCTATGCCAGAGCTCAATTCTGTTGGTTGTCACCTATGCTTCTGTTACGTTAATAATCAGACTATGAAGATCTTTGAGTTTTTTTGTTTGCATTTTTGCAGTACTGGGGATTGAACTCAGAGCCTCATGCATGCTAGGGAAGCATTCTACCTGTGAGAAACACCCCCTAGCCCTTATGGAGACTTTAATGATAAACCTTTAAACTTTTGTATTTGTGGCAAAGGTTACATCTGTTTTTCTGCAGCTGAACCAAAGCTATATCAAGTTTATCTAGTACCAACCAATTAACCATAGGGCCCAGAAACAAGTTCAGTACTCCCAGGTAAAAACAAAAGTGGGCTGGCCATTAGTTAAATCAGCCTTTGAGAGCTTTTTTCACCAATGGTCCTTAGAGAAAAGAACCATATTTCTTTCTCTTTTCTACCAACAATACTATAGATTTATTAAACTGAAAGTGAGGGAAGCTGGGTGCAGTGCTGCAAGCCCAGTGACTTGGGAGTCTGAGGCAGGAGGATCTCAAGCTCAAGGCCAACCCAGGCAACCAGTGAGACCCTGCCTCAAAATACATTTTTTTTAAAGGGCTTGGGATGTAGCTCAGTGGTCAAGTGGTTGCCTACCATGCATGAGTCCCTAGGTGGGAGGGAGGGAGGGAGGGAAGGAAGGAAGGAAGGTAGGTAGGTAGGTTATGAGGGCAAGTATAACTATTAATAGAAATTTTAGCTGAAAAGATCTATTTATTAAATCTATTATCCAGCAGTTTTTTGGAATATGATAGAATTTGATAATAAAACAAGTCCAAATTTTTAAAATGGAAAAGCAAGAAAAATATATGTCATCATATAAAATTAAAATATAATTTGGCTATTAAATTCCATAAATAAGTGCCTTTTCATCTTGGCAGTTACATCATCAGAGGAAAAAGTCAGTTAAAAGAGAAAATCATTAAAAATAATACACATACATTTGAGCTGGGCATGGTGGCACATGCCTGTAATCCCAGTGGCTCAGGGGGCTGAGACAAAGAGGATCCAGAATTCAAAGCAAGCCTCAGCAGCAGTGAGGCACTAAGCAACTCAGTGAGATCCTGTCTCTAAATAAAATACAAAATACCGCTGGGGACATGGCTCAGTGGTAGAGTGCCCGTGAATTCAAGCCCTAGTACCCCTCCCCCCAAAAAAAGATACACATATACTTAAAACATTATTTTAATTTAAAACAAATAAATGTCCTTTAATTCACTAATTTCTGATGTAGGACTTTGACTCATTCTTTTCTGGGTTAGCTGAACAAAGTTCTTAAGCAAATCACACCTAAATGCAGCTACCACTTAGTTTCCTTTTGTTTTTTTTAACATTTATTTTTTAATTATAAGTGCACACAATACCTTTATTTTATTTTTATGTGGTGCTGAGGATTGAACCCAGTGCCTCATGCATGCTAGGCAAGCGCTCCACCTCTGAGCCACAACCCCAGCCCCTACAGTTTCCATTTTTTAAAGAGCAAGAACCTGTGAAACAATGTCAATGTAGAGGCTTTCCAGAGTATGCCAACTCCCCAAATATTTTACAGTTGCCTTATTTCCAAATAATTTTACAGAAAAGCAGTAATTTATCTTTCCAAAACATTTATTTTGGGTTATATAACAACAACTCTCTTTATTCATATATCATCAGTGTATGTAAATATATATTTTTAAATTTCTTTCTTGTTCTTTTTTTATTTTTTTCTTTAGTTGTAAATGGACACAATACCTTTATTTTGTTTATTTTTATGAGTTGCTGAACCCAGTGCCTCACACATTTAAGGCAAGGGGTGTACCTCTGAGCCACAACTCCAGCCCAGTGTATATATTTTAATTAATGTACATAATTATAATAACAAGCACATTGGGGCTTGGGCTGTGGCTCAGTGGCAGAGTGCTTGCCCAGCATGTGTGAGACACTGGGTTCAATCTTTAGCACTGCATAAATAAATAAACAAAATAAAGGCATGCTGTCTGCTGTCCATCTAAAAGTACAAAAAGATGTTTTTAAAAAGAAAAAGTTACAAGCACACTGGCCCAAACAGGTCTGCCATGCAACTGCTGATGTCTGGTAAGCATACTCTTCCAATGGTAGAGGCAGGTATGCTGCAGAGAAGAGCCTAAGAGGGGCTGCTGAAGACTCAGAAGAGATGTCACAGCATCTCTGAAGTTAGTAAACAAGTTTATAAAGTTTCATAACTGTTCTATTAACCTGCTTTCTTGATTAATTGTTCTTGGTTTTTTTGATGATGTATATACAAGTGATTGACAGAGCATCTCAATGTTTTTAATGGTGCTACTGAGAACTACAATTATGAAAAACAAGAATTTTATGCAATGTTTTTACTCATAGATGGATACCAATGCCTTCTTAATAAATTGTAAAGCACATATTTGTAATTGTTTTGTTTTCAACATGTTGTATAAAACATACGTAACTGAGTATTTACTCTGTCCCACGATTAAACATTATAATCTTTAAACTTCCAGAAAATAGTCATCTTATGCTGTTAAAGATTTGCCTCAACTTTGTACTAAGTCTACTAATTCATGCCTTCTATTGACAAGTCCTTTTCTGGCCTTTAAATATCCTCTGACACCTCGGCCTTTTCTTGGAACTCCTTAGCTTAGCTGCTCACTCCCATTAGGTCTAGCCTGGCCTCTGTCAATACTAATACCTATAAACCTTTCATAATTCTTATTTCATGTAGCCTACTCTTGGACCATTCCTGTCTCTCCAGTTCAGTCTCTTCTACCACTACTTCTGGAATCCTTCAACCCTCCAGGATCAACAATCTGCTAATCCTACTCACCTTTCGGACTCCCTCCATCCCCATTATGTCTGTCTGCCTTCCCTGCCCAATTAAAACTATAGTCAGTCATTACAATCATTCCCTTGCTTTCACTCTCAATTCCTTTGCCTCCTTATCACTTCTTC